TATATATATAAACTAATTTTATTTCACCACAGAGACAATTTGTCAAAAATCACAACTGTATAGTCTGGTTGGGATTGCAATTATAAGAAAAAATGTCACCAACACACAGTGCAACACACAGTGCATGTGAGCACATGATGTACTGCATTATTAAAGATGTGCCACAAATTTCCACAATGTGGAAAAAGTGGGTTTCAAATCACAGCTGACTGTTTTAACCTGTTAAAATGAAGAAGTTTGTTTAAAGGATGAGTTGTAAGTACAATTTTAGAACACATGAAAGGTCATTTGTCATCTATTAATCCTCGCCATTATTGCCCAAACCCACTGAAGTCATTATTTTATAGACTCTGTTTATTTTTTACTCACACTGCCTTCTTCCTGTCGTCACACTTCAGGTAACAGAGATTTTGGATTACTGGGGTCCGAACTCAGGCCCGCTGACGTGGCGTTTGACCCCCGCAGAGGTGCGTCAGGTCCTGGCGTTGCGGATCGACTTCCGAAGCGAGGACATCAAGAGGCTCCGCCTGTGACCTGGGCACCGGCGGTTATCAGGGACTCACTTACCCACCTGCTGATCCCGGACGAAYGATGGATCTGCCATCTTCGTCTTTGTTTCTGCTTCTCAGCCAAGCTGGTTCCAGTCTGGGTTGGCCAAGCTTTTTTTTTTCTTTTTTTGAAGACACATGTTTTTTTTTTTTTTTTTTTTGGTTAGAAACAGTTTGGTAATAATTAACTGTAAGACGTGTAATTAAAGCTGTGGATGTGTGACTGTGTCTCAGCGGAGTTCCAGTGCTTCAGAAACAGGGACACGCTGGGACCGAGGAGCGGAGCTGTAATGAACGTCGTACCCATTAAACTGACAGAAGCAGGTCAGACAGCTGATCCAGCCCCGTCATTCAATATATGAATAGCTCCTGGTCTCTGATGATGGAACACTTTTAACCTAATAAATCCAGAGAGCCGCTGCGCCGCTGATCCCCACCACATTTCACCGCTGCCATGCAAGCCCCTGTACCCAATCTTTTATTCATTTATTTCAAATTTTTACACGTTTCTGCCTCTGAAGCTTTGTTCGCRGGGCGGTGAGGCGTTGAAAGCGGTACGATCTCATAATGTTCAGCCTAATTTCCCAGTCTAACCTTAATTCGCCACTCGCGGATRGAAGCAGGTCGTGGGAACAGCACCTCCGCGTTACGACTTGTAATGAAGACTCGAGACCACCGCAGCAGAAGTAGTTAGGAAAAGAGTGGCTTTAATGTAAACACAACATTCGATTGACTCAGCACAAACATTCCACATGAGAGCAACCAATAATCTACTGAATAGGATGGGGGGGTGCGGCACAAAAACATTCACAGTAAAAAAAAAAAAACAAGAAAAAAATCTGGTATAATCATAATATATATACAGTACGGTGCTTTGAAGGTGGAAATGGAGATGTGAGGACTGATATGTGATGGGTTAAGAGAAGTCGGGGGGTGAAGAAACTGGGGAGCTGTACAGACGATCGGGGGAGGGAGTTCCTGTTCATTAATCAGGAAGGGAAAAGATTTTAAAAATTCTTTCTCCCTCCCCCCTAAAAAAAAAAAA